CAGTTTCCTCTCTGAAAGGCCCCTGAAAAAGCAACAGCCAAGTGTGGTAGAGAAAAAAATTACCCTTAAAGTAGCAATAAGCGTATTCATCAACTTCTGCTTATGCATCCCATGTATGTTGACACTTTAACAGTATCAGACAAACCATGCAATAACCTACCTGCTCCCCGCAAGCCACAGGTAAGGAAGTTACTGCATGCTGCCAGAGGGTACATTCTCCACAGTAACCGCTGCGAACACCAGCACTGCCATCCTACCTGCACATGTTGCTCATTTCCTTAAGAATTTGAAACACTCATTTGAAACGCATCCTGTTTTCAGTTTTTAGAACAGGGCTATGCCATTTGAGTTTCAGGCTAGAGGCACTGCTATAAATAGGTGAATTGCACATCTCAAGACCACCGCGGTGGTTTCCATGCAAACAGGGATGAAAGTAGTACCCAGTAGTTCTAGACTGGCCAGAACTCCTTAGAAATATTTGCTCAGGTCTGCCAGTGAACCAATTTCATCGCATTCTCACACCAAAGATTCAATACCTCCTAAAGACAAGTGAAGTCCACAGATTTGTATGCTTTCAGTCTCTGAACTGCAGAATTTATCTTCCACAAGCCAAGAATTAAAGTGTTCCCGCGGCTCTCCAGCGCACACGTCTGTACTCCAGTCTGGGTAAGTGCTATCCTGTTTACCTTTTTCACGGTAGCTGCACAGCAAGCGAAACTCTTGCAGTTATTTGCAAGAGCTCTCAAATCCGTTCCCTGGCAAGCGCGCCTCGGTACCTTCTCATTTCGCAGACACAATCCCCATGCTTTTTGCCCTAGGATACATTAAAACACCATATAAATGGCATTTCACAACGCCATGGAATAATAGCACTGGGCACGCATTTCCCCCTCTCTACTTCCCCCTTAAGAGCAGGAAAACAGTTTAGTCATAAAATAATAGCAAAGCCTCTACATTTTGAGCTTTTTTCATTTCCCCAAATTCTCTCAAAAGAGAAAGAAAGAAAAAAAAATAATCTAAGAGTGCCAAGCTATTGCTAATTCTAGGCTGCGTTTTATCTATGACACCTAAACCAAAGGCCAGGAACCCAAGCAAGGCCATAGCTTAATAGCTCTAATAGATGCAGGAATTAGTAGTTGGTTTTAATCTGCTAGCCTGAGAACTGATTTTAATACGTGAAGCAATCAAAACTTGTTAAGCCCACACAAAACATTTTGGCTTCAAAGGACCTTCCACCCTCGCCCTAGAAAATCCTTTTCTGTTTGAAAAAGTCCTCGCCAATTCTATCCGAAACACCCTCATCTGTCAGAGTGCTAAATTTTCGCTCTCTGCCATGTTACCACCGCAAACTTGGAGGCCAAAACTAAAACTTGAGTTCCCAGAAATATAGAACAATTCAATTATTGGCTGCTACACCCCTTTTTACTGCTTCCCTTCCAGAGGAGGGTTAGGTCCAACCTACATTCCTGTAGCAGTGGCTATCTGGGAGACCACCTCACCTCCAGGAAATGCACACCCAAAGCTCCAACAATTATTCTACGTGCTCAGCTGGTTTGCTCCTGCATTAGCTTTCACCAGCCCCACCTCTGTTCTAATTTAGCTGTCTGCTTCCCTTGAGGGCCTATGATAAATTTGTCTGGTTTAAGAACTAGAGAAGCCGAAGTGGCCAAACAGAGCAAAACTCCCAGATACTACCAAACAGACATCTGCACCTCATTATTTATAGGAGCTGTTATATACCATTTGGTTCAATATATTCACTTCCACCTTTCCCCAATTTTTTCTACTGCGTGTGAAATACTACTTGCAAAATACACATTCCTGTTGCTCTTCCCCTATATTCCCATCTGCATGTAGCACCCCTGTGTTTCAACTGGAGACAAGCCTTACCAAAACACACCTGAGCCACTAAAGCAAAGTAAAAATACAGTCCTTTCTCCCATCAATTTGGAGGAGGGATTTTCAGTACCAGCAACACAACAACGTTTATATCTTATTTCTGCTTTTCATGGCAATAGTTATGATTCAAGAAGGTACATACCACAAGCTAAAATACTAATTGACTAAGGTATACATTGAGAAAAAAGCCTTGATCTTCTCTACTGCTGACTCTTACAATTTGCTGATGCAAATCAACTTCATATAACTTACACTTTTTCTCATTACATTTGAACGGTTACACTGCAGTAGCCAAGTTAAAAAAAAAAAGTGAGCATCTTTTACAAGTAATTGAGTAGTATTAGACTCCTTTCAGCATTCTTCCCCAGCAGACACTAGTAGAATTTAAATATTTTGGGCAATGTAACAAGAAACTAACTTTTATTTTCCATTGTTTAATTTAAGCTTGCAGATCCCTAGGAAGAATTTGCTTTTGCAGAACCCTTAAAGTCCCTGCTCCATAGCTGGGATGCTTCTGCATTTTAGCATTAAGTTCCTTGCAAGTTGTCTATAGAAACTTATTACTTGAAAGCACAATCTGCATTAGCAGTTTTCTGTATTTTATTAGTTTCAATTATCTGTGATAAGCATGGCCTACACAGAATCCAGTTGTCTGAGAAGCAGTCTGACTACATTATACCCTAACACCACATCCCCACGGCTGATGCTTCCCTTCCCTGCAACTGAAAGATGCTTGCATGTTCTGGTCTACGAATTGCACTGTCCCAAAACCCAAAAACCCTCAAAACAACTAAGGTCTGCACAGTACTCTCAACATTTCTGACCTCTCACAGAAAACACATACTATAACAACAAAAAGACATAGTTTTGAGAGGCACAAGCATATACAGATAGAATTCTAAGCTGTATCTTCAGACGTAAGAGTTACCTTTCCAGCTCCACCACTGAGCTGCCTTCTGACACCTTCTTGCAGAAGGAACTTCCTTGCTGAAAGTTGGATTTTATGGTATGTTGCTGGTGAGGGGGCAAGCAGAAAGGAGGAAGAAAAGCAGCTTCTAGTTTCTTTTTCACCTCCTCACAGTATTGCAGTGTTTTAGAACACAAAGTTGACCACAGCATCAGAATAAAGTCAAGTGCCAAACTACAAGGCAGGCAGTCACTATTCTCCAGGTAACTTTACCCAAATAATTAGTACAATCTTTCTCTGTCTCTATTCCGGCAATGATCTGCATGCTAGCAACTTGCAAAATGCCCTAATAATAAATGACCTGAAAACATAGCAAAAGGACAATCTCCTGAAGTTTACTTTTAACAAATAGAGCAAACCTTCGTAGAGCAGCAGCTAAAGAGACCAGTTTGGGCTCCATTCCAGCTCTCTGGCATAATACTTGTTCTGTTAGCATTACAGCCAGCACTTTAAAATTTGGCTGACACACCCAGGAAAGTGGCTCCCAATATTGTGTACGTGTTTACACAAATAGCCAAGACTGAGCTCACAGCAGCATTCTTACAGTTTGTTTTCCTTAAAACAGGGAGCCCGATTCAGGGGTTTCTGCATCACAGAACTCAGACAGGAAAAAGAATTTCTCTAATACTTACAGTGGAATTTTCTGTTGTGAAGATGGGATGAACCCATCTGCATTTATTTTACTTTCAAAGAAAAAGTTGTGCTCCTCTATAGGTGCAGTTTCACTTCACACTTACTTATATCTAACTGAACTATTGCAAAAGATGCCATTTCAGTCCTGCTGCTACCTTATCCCTGCCTTGCGTACATCCTGCTTCCCTGTGTTGATTCAAGCAGTTGCAGAATGAGCCAAGTTAGCTTTGCTGATCCAAAAGAAAATTAACCAGAAAGCCAGACATTCCCATCCACAGTAAATGCAACTTGAAACCACACACCGTCCAGAATTGCCACATTACGCGCATCAGAACGTTTCATTTCTAAGGCCTTCTTAAAGGTACTGGACAAGAGATCTGGAAACAGCAATGTGTTCATCAGACCTGAGGATAATTCTGATGGGAAGGGACCTCAGGAGATCATCTTGTCCAAACTTCTACTCAAAGCAGATAAATTCATCCAGGAGATGACAAGACGTAATCTACTTACTATCAGGAGCTGTAAAGGTTAAGTGACCTGTTAAGGTTAAGGAGGAGGTAAATGAAGCTTAAGAAAGGCTCAGCAACACATTCACAACAGAAAAAGGGGAAGAGGGGGCAGGGATGCTTGGCTACCCAACTTTATTTTTTTAAAAAAACAATATTCACTTCCACTCAACAGGAGTACTTGATCAGCTCTAGTTTAATCAGCACTGCACCTACCAGGATCACTATGCTGCTCTAGCAAGATGAAGAGAACTGAAAAAACAGGAAGGCGTACACAATCTGTATCTACAGAGATGCAGGGAGCACAGTAAATTCAAGACTCCTTATTCTATTGCAAATGTTGCAAATGGCTTATCAACTCAGATCTGCCATAGAAATGGCACTTCTTTGGAATATTTGCCTGTAGTTAACCTAGAAAACACACTCGTGCCAGCCTTGCTATCATATCAGATACACAGATTATCCCCATTTTCTTAAACTGGTAGGATCTGGGATTTACACACTGTCTTTGGACATAAGACTGCATTGGCAGAGCGTGCCAGTCCCTTGTACATATGCTCTTGGAGCCTGAAGCACTCCTGTTCTTTGTCCACACAGCACATCACTCGGTAGAGCCACTACTGACATTTGAATTTCCAAATCATCACTGCGTTACACATAATGCAAATAAACAGCCTTATATCGGCACCACTTACTACAGTCTTAAATAGCTCTCATTTAGGAGGCAAAAAAGACAAGAAGGGGTTGATACTGACTTTTGCTTATCAGGAGCAGATTGTTTTTTATTGTTTGTTTAAAAAAAAAAGAGAACAGAATAGAACTGTAAATCCTCCAGACTTGAGGGAGTCTATTATTCTAGGCCAAACACTCCTCCATAAACCCCATTTTTGTACCTGGCTTTGGGAACGTCACATAATTTAGGTATTACTGCCACAACTGCTAACACATCTACCCCAGTGATTGCTGGGTGAGCTTCACCCTGCTGTGTTACTCACTGCCTGGTGGATGTCAGCCTTCACTTCTTCACTCAGCATTCCCTCAAACACAAAGGAATCACCGAATTTCTCTGCCTATAGAAAGAACAAAAGATTCAACCATATTATCAAATGAATGTTGTTCTTAAAATGCCACTCACATTTACAGCTTTATCTTATCAAGGATAAGGAAATTCTAATAGCAATTTTGAGTTCTCTGTCAAGGAAGCTATTTTGGAACAGAAGAGAAAGCGTTTTATCTCTGGATGTCATCGTACTTCAACAGCCACTGGACAGATGGCAGCTCGCAGCTTCTGCAAATGTTTTTACTTCTGTTAATTAAAAATGCTGTTCCAATTGCCCCAACTGCTTTAAAATGCTGCGACCAATGATCTAACATTCAAAGGCGTATTTCATTCCTCTTAGTTTTCCTTTGGGAATCACAGTAAAAGACTCCAGCCTTGTCAGTTACTGCTCCTTCATCATCACTAGCACCATGCTTTAAAGTGCTGTCACAACAACAAGAGAAGACTTAAAAGTAACCTAATCGTTGCATCTAACTTTATGTAAAGCCAAAAGAAACAAAAAATACAAATCATTTCAATGAATCATAGTTCATAAAAAACATAGGGTTTTTTCCCTTGGTAAGCTAAGGGAATTGATATCCTAGGGAAGTCAAAACATGTTATCAGAATTCAACACATTTGCCCTTCTCAATTTCTGCATTTTATTCTGCATTCAAAGACTGAGAAGGATCACCATAAGCTGCTTCTGCGTACTCAGAAGCCTTCAAGAAACAGTTTGAAAGAAGGATCCCACTCACCACCCAAATTGCAAGAAGTTTTAGCATATGACCAAAATCCTTATACATTTAGTTTCAGAAAGGAAAGAGGAAAGAAACTTATTTTTTTTCCTCTCCTGCCCAATCTGAAAGACCCACACACAGGCAAACAAGTTATCAAAGGAAGGACCCCAGATTTCAGTCTGAGCGCCTCCATCAAGGGCTTTTTAAGTTGGAACCAAAAATATTTTCTTTTTTAACAGCAAGATAGCTGTACGTCTGCAGGTTTTGTTTCTTCAGCTTTCTATTTACTTTCAGGTTTAATTTGCCACTGGAGTTCAGTCTAGTCCCTAATAAAAGAAAAACAAGAAGTAGGTTGGCTCTGTTTATGCGCAGTAATGTAGACATTATTTAAATACACAAAAACATGCTCAGCTGCATCCCAAAAAAACCCCTGCAGAATCACTGCTGTTTATTCTAACTCTGAACTTATTTTTCCAAAGCCAGCGTAAAAAGGGGCCCCATGTGAGGTAAGGGAGAAGTGGAGCACCCAACTACACCAGCTGAGCCATGAAGCACTGTCTGAAACGGACTCCATCTGATGCAGTGCTATAGTCAAATGCCACTGCACATGTGCTCATTCCAGAAGCCGTTTCCAACAAGCTCTGTTCAAACTCAAAATTGTTAAGCAATCTTTTTCCATAATTACCGAGCTAAGAACCTAAAAACAGAAATAGTGCTGCAGATAAAAGAAGCCCTTCATTCAACCAGAGGATCCTGTCTTCCTAACGAGAACCAGTTTATCAAGTGAATTTAGCAAAATGCCTCCTTTGAGACCTGATCATTACCAAGGCTTTTATTTGCCTAAAATGGTCTGTCAGGGTTTTATAAAAGTTGTGTAGGAACAGTCAACTGTCAGGAAAGATCAGAGCCTCAAGCACAGGTACCTTCTTTCTTGAAAAAAAAGTAACATATTCTTTCTTATTCCATTATTCCCACAAAACTATTATTATACTTGCTATTATATCTTCTTTAGACAGCAGGGCTTCCTATTGCTCAGCTCATTTGCAGAGAGCTGCACTGAACGAGCCTGCAGAGTCCTCAGCTATCACAGTTTTTTAAAATCCCTTCTCCCCTGTTCCTCTACAATAAGGAAGATCTAACAACATAGTCGTACTGGCACAAATATGTCCTAGGACGCAAGGGTCAAAAAAACCCAAACAAACAAATACCAAAAAGCCCTGCATAGACATCTTCAGCCATCCATTAGCTTCACCCAGGCTGCCTCAGTCATACTGCAGGGAAGATACTTAGTCAGATATCAAGACACTTACTAAATGTAAGAGTACACATTCATGCCCTTTCCGACCCCCGGGCAGCAAGGCAAGACAACTTCATCTCTCCACTATTTACAGCAGAAATATTCTACTACGCAAATCCCAAGCAAGTATTGTGATGTCCTTCAAAAAACCCCAATAAAAAACCCTAACTTTTTTAACGGGGTTTGCCAACACAAAGAAAGATGACAGGAGTCTGTGTATCTTTCCGCCTTACCTCAGTAACGTACCCAGTAGAATTCACAAATCTCTCAAACTCCTCATTGCTGACCTCATACTGATCCATGTAGAAACTGTTAACATGGACTTTTCTGGCAGGCCATTCTCCATCTTGCCGTATTTCAGGCTCATCAGTGCCCATTGTGAACACTCCTCCTGGAATAGCGACCATCTGTGGAGAAAACACCACCCAAAAGATGATAAAAATGAAAGACCAAAAAGTCTCTTATCGGTCTTACTCCTCCTCCACCCCATCTTTGGAGGTGCTTTTGCTTTGAACAGCTTTTCACTGACAAGAACAGCACAATAAAATGGCAACAGCGGCATCTTAATCACAACCTGTTTGGAAAAAATAGCAAGCAGAACTTAAATTGAGAACAAAAACACCATTTGCAGCTCTTTCTACATGAAGCCTGGGTAATTCAGAGTTTTTACTGAAAAACCTACTTATTTTTTCTAATGAGGAGAAACACGTTCCCCTACTGTACCTAAGAGTCAAGAAACAAACCAAAGTCCTTCCTACTCATTTTTAGATGAGGAATTCTGGCATGCCACTCTATTCCTAGGAATGCTCAATGCATCCATTTTAAATCTGGAGATTTTGAAACTGTACAGTGCTCTTTTGTCGACAAGCCTATGCTTGTTTGCATACTAACTACACATGGGGTTTAATTTAATAACGGGCACGCGCAGCATTTCCTTACCAAGTCTGCCACTAACTGGCAGGTAGACACAGCACGTGCAGGTCTGTGTGCCAGAGATGGGACAAACTTTCAAGTCAGTTGTATTGCACTCTTCTGGAAGACTGGCCTTGGGCAAGAGCTTCAAGCTTCAGAAGTGAAGGATGAGTGACAGAATAACGTTTTAGCTATTTCAATAAGATGTTTTCCCTTTAAGGTCTCAGCCAGTTTCCAGAGAAACAAACCGCATTTTCCTTCAGCTTTAGTGTGGGCTCTTACCAGGAGGACAACGGACTCTGAGGTCTTGTCATGCCTCATCAGATGTTTCCTGAGAGCCCTCTAAAGACCACAGACTGAGCAACACACTCCTCACCCAAAAAACAAGAGCATCCATGATCCCTACTTGGAAGCTTGTGCTGGAACGAAGAATGACAGCTCAGGCTGAATTAAAAACTTGCCAATGGGCAGATGATGTTTCAAGGACTGACTACCCAAGACCTAGCTTCCCAAGAAGTTACCCAACTCACCAATGGATGAAAGAATTGGGGAAGAAAACTCCTTTTCAGTATTCCTGAGCTACCTTCACCTCCTAACCCACATCGAATGCAGCCACCTCATTCCTCCTCTGGCAACGGTCAGAGGCTTGCGAGTGGGTGAGCCCCAAAAAAGCCAGCACTGACATACACATCCACTGTGGAAAATAATCTGGCATGTCATATGGCACCTGAACATACCCTGGCAGTGACCTGTGATCAACACTACTCTTACAAGGAATCAAGCAGGCAGACCAGTGACAGAACCGAAAATGAGCAAAGCCAGTTCTAAAAGACAGCAGCATTTTTTGTTGCAAGATCCTGATGTTTGGTATGCAGGAAATTCAAGTCTAATGAAAGAAATAATCACTGAGAGAGAAGTTTCCAGAGTAGCATACCTCTAACACTACTCCAGAAGTGTGGTTTAAGTTCTCACCGAAAAAGAAGCCTGGTTTTAGGTGTAGAAGAGTACAAACAAAATTCCATATACATATAGTGGAATAACACAGTACACAACATGTATATTAAAAGCAGACAAGCTGCAGAGGTAGGGTTGTAAAAAACGTGAACTGATGTAACATTATTTAGATGAAGAGGAGGTTTCACAGAACCAAACATGAACTTCGGACTTTGTACATACAGCCTTTTTACAGCACAGTCTAGATTACAAGACCTCGATTCTTCTGTAGTTGGAATTTTGGGGTTTGTTTCCCCCCCCCCCCTTACTTTACAAGATGCTGTTCATCAAGTTGGATGCTTTCACCAAAACAGTTTGTCTGGATGCCCAGACTGACTCATGAACCAGGAAGACAAAAAGAGTCATTAGGTACCTTCCAGCTTCTGGAGTTTACTGTTATTTATATAGTTAAACCACCAGTAGCACACCAGATGATCAGTAAATAAGTTCACATCAGCTATCCAGCACCTCTCCCTATTATTAAGGGAATTTGTAGTGTTTGACATAACCTTACATATCCAACTTCATTGTTCTCCACTACAGACCTCTTCTTTTGCTTGGGTCTCTCCCAGCGACACTTAAAATTTGCACAACTTGCAAAAAGCCTATAAGAAGTGCTACAAATACTTTTTCCTTTGAACTAACCACATTTGAAGCTAGCTGCATCCTCATAACTTTTTCTGCACTAGAAAGAATCTGGGCACTTACAGATTGCCTTTAACTGAATCCATAAAAGGGCTTCAGGATAAATTTACTTGCATTTTTTAGGACTTAGGGAATGACGTGGTACAAAGCTGCACCACATCCTTGCTTCCAATCCCCTTCCAAGCCACTGTAGCTAAAACAACTCCTTGAAGCAGTCTTCAAAGCAAGATTCAGACCTCACTAGTGAGCTGCTGTCTAAAAGCATGTGAAAAATTAACTCTTGCTTTACAGCCTAGCATTCATTTCCAAAACCTGACACATCTCAATAGACTGCCAGCGTATGCTCAGCTAGGAAGTCCAAAGGCTTCCTTATGAACCTGCTGCCTTTGCAGCCCTCTCACACAGTGACAGCTGACGCTTCCGGCACGTCCAACACTGACACCAAGTATTGATTGGGCAGGACTATCCTCCCCCACCAAGGCTCATTTCACAGCTCCATCTCCTGTTTGGAAATTGGACCTTCCTTTGATAGCCAGCTTTATGATCACACCACATGACAGGATGCAAGGCTCAGATGTCTGACAGCACACTTCAGCTGAAAAGAGTGGAATACAACACTAAGTGAGGAATAAATTTTCTGCATAGACATCACATCCAGAAACCACTTTTGTATTGTTAATTAAGCAGCTTTAACATCCAGTTTTACAATACAGCTAGTTAACACTGAGGAACTAATCTCTAATAAATATCAAAGTTGAACTATGGAGGCAGAAATGTGTCAGCCTCCGCTGTCGGATATGTCATTTACTGCATTAAGTGAATTACTGTAATAGACCGTGCAACAATAATTGTGTCTTCACAATATTACTTAGCTAGCGCACGCAGCTCGTTGTCCTCAAAGCTCAACTTCAACAACAGGGACCACATTTGCCTATGATTATACATTCAAGTATAACTATTACAGTAATGGAAAGCAGACTCACCAAAGGACTAGTTCACCATTCCTCTGAGTTGTGGTTGAGGTAGAAGCCAATTTTCCTCTCACTTCCCTTCTGGTAAAAATGTTTTCTAACCAGGCATAATCAAGTTATGTTGTGAACATAGCTTAAAATCCAGCAGCAATTAGTTTTCGTTATCTGCTGTTGAAGTTGGCAGCTGCCTTGCATAAGTTAATAGTCAAATTATTTTTTCACCCTATAGTGAAATGCCAAAATGTATTACATGAAATGTAAATTACTGACACAGTGCCCAAACACAGTATGGATTATTTAATTCACACTCTTTATATATACTGAAATTTCTTAAGCACAGCCTGCAGTAGTAAAGCCATAATTACCACTGTACATCCTTCCCTTTACCTGCTAAGTGTCTGCACAACACAGGCTTTCTCCAAGCTGACATACCTTCCTGGTGTTACAACACCAAGAGGCAATTAGAGAGGCAGCCCCTCACAGTTTTACTATTTGCAAGCCATGTCGCACAAGAACAAGGTCTAAGTCTGCTGTGATATAATTTCGTCTGCCAAGGTTTACAAACACCTTTCATGAAATGAAGCAGCAATCCCTTTTCTAATAACTCAAGATATCTCATCCAGCGAGGCATTTGGTCTCCAGTGATACAACAAGTCTCGGTATCCCTTCGCAGTAGGTACATCAGTCCACTTTAAGCACTGCCTTTGTCAAGAAGGCTCTGGGTGGTGTCTTGCAGAAAAGCGGCAACAATAGAAAGGAATAAGCAGCTAAAGAAACTTTCACTTGAAGAGAACCTGAAAGGACATCAAGATATGGATATGTCAACGATGGCTTTGCTGAAATACACACAAGAGACCTGACGCATCACTCATCGGTGTTTCAATTCCATTGACACCAACCCAGACCTAAAAGAGATGGGTGAGGGGAAGCCAGAGCCACAGCAGTATTGATATTCACAGACTAAGGGACTACACGAACAGAGCTGCCACCTCCCCAGGCTGTGCGGCAACGCAGCCCCGCTCAGGGGAGTGCCGTCGCACACGCACCCGGTGGGAGCCCGCGCAGGGTGTGGGCAGGCCTGCCCAAACAATCCGTCACGACCAACACCTCGAATAGGTTTGTCGCATCTCAACTTTGTAAAGAACGGCAGGAGCGGTTGGGGCGGGCACGCGTGGGGATGCAGGGAAGGCTGTCAGGACACGGGCACCGCTGCCCAGGCCTCTCTCCGTCTTCAGGAGCACCCAAACGGCCCGGGAGAGGCCCAGGCTCTCCCAGCGGGACGGGAGCAATGAAGGACCCGCGCCCAAGCAGAGGCTCTCACGAATTCAGCCAAAGAGGCCTGTGAAGCAACTCTCATTCGAACTTCTACGCAGACACGCGCCCGCCCGGGGCTCCCCGTTAA